TGGAAACATTTACTAGACCATATTTCTAAAAATAAAATGCAATTAAGTCAAATGTAATCTAATTAAATTAAGGGGCAGTTGCAAAAATGTCATTTTTGGTGTGTACATTTGCAAGAATGCCACTTAGGGGTGTCCATTTGTAAAAATACCACTAATTATGAATTTTTAAAACTTAAATCTTAAAATTATAAACCCTAAAAACTGTTTTGATCCCTAAAACCCTTAAAACCCTCAAAACTAAATCCTAATACAACATAGTTAACCCAAACATAAATGATATAATGAATTTTTTTTTTTTGAAAAAGTGGCATTTTTGCAAAAATTTTTGTAAATGTGGCATTTTTGAAAAATGACATTTTTTGAAATTTCTTTTGAAATTTCTCTTAAATTAATTAAATGAAAGGCTTAAGCTGGTCGAGTCTTAATCCTTCTTTATAATTTGAATTAGGGTGTGTAAACATTTTTTTGTAAAAGTTCCTACTCGAATATGGGTTTGTAACATAATTGCAATCCTGTATTTTTTTTTCCGACAAATCTGGATATATTATGATGTTAAATGTAACATTACGTAATCTTTATGCAAATAAGGAGTTAACCAAACATGAGGATAATTACAACTTGAATAAAATAAAGCATTAAGAGGACCCCTTTGAGCCAAACAATGAGCCACTTCGTTTGAGTTTCTTCTTCTAATTGCAGTGAATTTATGGTTGTGTAATCGAGAATTGCAATTCCTGTACATGTTGTTCAAAATGATTTAAAATTTCAAATGTAATGCAAAAGAGTTCTACTCGGTTGATCTCAGAAAAGAGAATATATTTTCTATATTTCCTATTGGTTAATTGCATCGGAGTTTTTGGGATTGATATAAATGATTTTATAAAATTAAAAATATATTCTCATCTAATTGAGATCTAAAGAAACAAATTTTCAAAATCTTGGTTGTTACTTAAATTTTGAGAAAAAAACATATGAATATTCTTAAACTTGCCAAAAACAAATATTTCAAAACTTTTAATAGTAAATCTCACTATTAAATCTAAAAGATGAATATACAATTCAGTGAAAAGTAAAATAAATGTGTTTGATTTATGCATTTTTCATATCTTTATGTGAACATATTCCTATACAAAATAATTATAAATTCGAATACACAAGCAATTTTTGAATTCTATTTGTATATATTCATTTTACCCCGTGCACAGCGTGGGTACTATTCTAATTTATATATTAAAGGAGAAACATTCTAAGATATTTTTGCTGATGTGTCAAGCTCTCAATTTTTTCAGGTTTTTAATTTAATTAATTTTAGTTTCTTTAGTCATCTACTATTCCATTTGCCAAACATTATTCCACTTGCTATACTTATTTCATTTATTAGGTGACTCTTCCGCTTACACGCGGGTAATTTATTAATAATTTTTCTTTTTTTGAATTTTACAATTTGAAAATATGAAAATATGTATTTTTAGTTTTATTAGAGACATCGTTGTTGATATTTTGTTGTAAATTTTTTTTGTTAATAATATAAATTTTTGAAACTTTAGTTTTACCATTTCATTATTTTATATACGTTATATAATAATTTAATACATTGGAGTGCACAATCTATTATCAAAGTTGATATTCTTGACTGCGCGCACGCGGAATACTATCTTTTCATTTATTGGCATTTCAGTACCTTATTGGTTTACAAATACATGTAATGTATATGTTTAATCGATAATAAAGTGTGTTCGTGACTAAAAAAAATTGAGATTCCTCTCATTAAAAATTAAATCCTCTATTTGATCATCTTTTTTTAAAAAATATCATTTTCTTCACAATGAATTTTGAATAAAAACTCAATTCGACATCAAAATATGAAAAGATTAATGTGAGCAACTTTTCGTAAACAAAGAAAAATTAATAAAATTTTTCATACAACATAAACTAAGTACACTACGTTTTCCTCTTCTTTTGTTTTCCAAACCTTTTTTGTTTTCTTTTTTTTATTATGGTTAACGTCTCTTACACATTTTGTTAAAGAAAAACAATTTAGAGATCAATTTCATTCATTGAACGGTTTTCTATGGTCTGATCTTTTTTATTTCATACTAAAATTTTCATACTGTTTTTTTACTAAACATTAGATATAATATGAAAATGTTAAACTGATTTTCTTAAAATAGAAAAGTTGAATATTAGCTTTTTAAATATTAGCATATAAAAATTATATTTAATATAAACATATAAAAATTTATATACATTTTATCTTAAATTATTTTTTTATTTTCAAATTGTTTTGTGTTATTTAAGAATACGTATATTTGTTTTTATAAATTTGAAATTTTTTTGTCACAAAACATAATAAAATCTCTTTAAAAAACTTGTTAATTCTTTATTATAAATTCAGTAAAAATATATTTATATGAAAAAGTGTTTAAAAAATTTATTGTGACAAAAAATAATTTTTAAACATTTTCTTAATGAAAAACGTAAATATTAGCATAAAATATTATTTTATAATTCTTTTGATTTATTTATGAAAAAATATATAAACATAGTTAAAAAAAAATTTGTAAAAGTTTTGATTCATTTTTGCCATGTCATATTTTTTTGAAACCATGTCATAATAAAATTGGTGAGAGTGATTCTTGTGGTGACACATAAACAAATTTGAAAAAATCACTTCTCAAATAATATATAAGGGATTCTTAATTCAATTGCCAAACATGTTACAAATCCTAATCTTCTATATATTAAAAGAGAAGCATTGATGGCTATTTTTTATGATTTGTCATCACCATAGTT